TTCTCCATTATTAGGATTTTGCCTGCTTATTTTGATGTGATTGTTTTCCTTCATGGACGTGTAAGTTTGTCTCAACAACATTTTGCAAATAAATCATCTGAACTGCTTCTGCCCGTCTGCATTTGGGTTCTGTTTCGGTTCCATAAATTAACAAACTCTGCAGTACAGCAGGAGCCACAAGCTGAAACTGTGTCTCACACACACAACAGCAAACACCTGAAGCTGATTGCATTGATCTCCTTAAGTACGTTTGCATCAATTATGGAGGCAAACTTCATAGTTGCCATTTCCATTGTCATTCAGTTGATTTGTGAGATCTTTATGGTTTCAGTCTATTCCTCTCATCTCTTCCTCGTGTGCTAACAAACATATGTTTGCTGTGGGCGTCCAGGTTTTCCCAAACAGATGCACTGAGAAACATTTAGGTTGAAAGTTGGGAATACCCACTCGACCTCTGACTTGCAATGTAATGCAGAGTCAGATAAATGTCGTATAAAGTAAAATGTTCAAGATTTCCTTCTGTAGTGGATATATAAAGTAGTAGAAAATGCAAATATTCAAGTTAATCTTCACTTTCCCCCACTGATTTTGGGTTATCTCCTAATGGCATTCACTAAAAACCAGAGGTGACTAAAGCACACACAAAAAAAGTACTGATTCAACTTCTTTACAAAAGTAAAAGTGCAAAAGTACCGGCTCTGAAATGTACTCAAAGTACTCTCTGTAGGACATTTCTACCGGCTGTTTCTGTGCAAAGCCGACTGAAAGTTCAAACAGGTTCGAGCCTCCCTCGCGTGTCAGTTTCGTCTCGTTATGGCACTATGTATTTTACACCATGTACTATATGTGATATGCACTGGTCTTGACGTTGGGAAGGGGTGCAGCGAGTCCCCTCAAATGCATTCAAACTAACGTAGTGAGCCTGCTTTGAATATGTAAGCAGGACAAAGATTTGTGTAAACAAGTAGGAGGTAAAAGTAAAAAGTACAGTACAGATACCTGAAAATACAACTAACAAAGTATTTGTACTTCATTACTTCCCACATCTGCTGAAAACCATTTCAGGGCCCACTGTATAGCAGAAGTAGTCTAGAAAGCACTGCAGCAGCCTTAATGTCAGACTGCATTTGGTCTTGGAAACCGTTTGTACTCCAACTGTTTGTGGGCAGGAAGTGAAATTAGTTGGAACTCTGTCAGGAAGTCCTGTCGTTTCTGCTTGTCCTCAGACAACTTTGCTTTCAAGGTGTATTTCCTCTAAAACGATTCCCCATTGTTTGCCAACAGGTTTCACATTTCACCACAAACTCTTCTGCGTGCGTTTGCGTCCTTTGTCCTCCCAGAAGCACTTTGTGGCCTGGTTTGTTAAAAGCGCTTTATCGCTAAAATTTGACTTGGCACGTCCTGTCAGGAGAGATTGCGGCTGATGAGACTCCTGACCTGCAGATAAAACATCCATTAAGTGGGTTGTCTGGGCCGATTCTGTGCTCTTACCCTATTAGCATATTGTTAGCCATTTGCAAGATGGTGCAGCAATGGATACACGCTGCCGTTCTGCAGCCAGTCACCACGCCATAAAGAACCACCTCTCACTCTGCTGCTGTGCTAAATGTCGTCTCTGACATTGTAATGCTCGCCGGCTGTCCTCCGCCAGACGATTCAAATGACCGCTAAAAGCCCGAGGGAAGGGAAAAAAGGGCCAAAATGCAAAATTGATGGAAATGACATTAGATTCAGCTCATGCTCCTCACTGTGTAAATTATGCCCCAAAATGGACTCTCTGGCCCGACTGTTAGCTCCAATTTGTTAGGCCATACCTCATGGTGGCTTGTCTTGCCCTTCCCCTCTCCCTTTAATCCAATCAGAGCCACACTGGATGTTATTTATTTGTTTATTTATTTATTTTCGAAGGATGTAACCGATTCTTATCAGGGCAGAAGTGGGGCCTTCTTCCTGGTGAAACGGTGACTAACGTCCAGCCATCGATCCGTCAGTTCGTCTGCGGTGGCGGGTGATGGTTCTGGTGATAGACGACTCTGTGTGTGTGTGTGTGTGTGTGTTATATGTATGCGTGTGTGCACTTTGTTTACTGGAGTCAATAGTGCAGATATGGGTGCGTGTTTTTTTCAGTGCATGGATTGTAATGGAACATGTACACATGAACACTAACCAGGCTTATGTGGGCATTATTTTGAGCTGATTTCATTTCTGATATTGTTTTATTTTATTTTTCATAATGAATGGACTTTTTTTTTTTTTACTCATTCAAACATTTACATCAAGTGCTACTGCTCGACTGTAACGTTTATGCTCATATTCTTCTGTTACGCTCATAAAAGCATCGGCAAAATGCCTAAAATGTAAATGTGCAACAGTTCGTCCCAGGTCTATTAGCCTTACAGAACATTATGATTTATGGTCTCAGAGTTGGCTTTAATAATTGAACAACTGCTCAGGGTTTCTGAGTGGATGTTTTTGGTCCAATGTGTCTCATTTAGTTCATTCATTTTATTAATCTTGGACCGGATAACAGACTCTTTTATTTAACCTTCTCATACTTTTTGTGGAAGACATCTTAAGTTAAACACAGATATAGTGTTATTCCATGTTTCTATTGCGTCAGTAAATCCCAAGAAAAGACCAAAACCAACAAATTGCCGCGGTTGCAATAATTGGAGATCATTTTCTCAGGTTATTGGTTAAGTACCTTGTCCTCTGCTTCCGGAAACAACAACACGTTCATCCGTCTCTCCGTTCGTCTTTCCAACTTCCCTTTCCTGTCTGTGGCTCTCAACCCCAAACATTAATTTGTAACTAAAACAGCTGGGGATTGTAGTTTTTATCAGCTGTAACTCTAGCAGGAGGAAATAGTGCATTTGTTGGGGACTATTTTCAGGGGCGGATTAATACACATTTGTAAATTGTAGTAATTATGAAGGCAGACGCTGTCAAACTTCATCATGGTGTACAGCCTTTGTTAAAATCTTAATTTCTTCCCTATCATATCTGATTGTACAGAGCTGAACTGACTTATGGAACATTATCTTTATTAATGATTATTAGTGATTTAGGATTTTAATAATTTATCAGCCAGAGGGGGGTTCTTATTTATGGTTTATACCTGATCTGTAAAACATCAGTAAACAATTCATTTACCATTAATGAAGCCATTAGTTAGTGCTTTTTAGTCTCGTGATATCAGACTAAATAGGAGGTAGCTGCTTGAACATCAAGAGAACGGCCGCTAACAACCTGAAACAAAGCTTTTTAAAACATCGAATATGGATGTCAAGCACACGACTTCTGCATGTCACCGCCATTAGGGCTTTGTATTGTTTCCACCCAGCTTTAGCAAAGAAAACTGTGACAAAGGTCTCCGTCTTTACTGAGTTTAGCGTTTAGAGAATGGCTTGTGAGTCTAATAACTTATAAACTCTTTATTACAGGGTGACAGCAGACAGAGGTACCAAAGAGTTTTGGCCCTTTTTGACTGTTTGATTCTTTGTTGGTCTGTAAAGATTCAGAAAATAATGTGAAATTACGTCACAATTACTCAGATCACAAACCTTCACGATGCTTGTTTCGTCCTGCGCAAACCTCAGGAAAGGAAAAAGTCATAAATACTCACATTTGAGAAGCTGAAAACATGAAAAGTTTGGCATTTTTTTCATGTTTTTAACAAATGACTTAAACAATAATCAACATAGTTAGCAGTAAATTTAATGTCCATCAACTAATCAGTTAACTGACTAATAATTTCAGCTCTATTTGTACATTTTCATATGTTTTAGGAGTAAAAATCTTAATTTTTAAAATAACTAAAGCTGTCAGATAATCGTAGTAAAAATGACAACAACTCCTTCTGAAGTGTAGCGGGGTAAAAGTATAAAGTGGAATGAGAAGAAAACACTCTCAGATCTGTAGGTAAATTCCAGCTGTCGGACTCAGTTTGAATGCTGATAGCTCACATGGTCCTGTGCACACCATTAATATTAAACTGTAAATAATTAATGCCCTGCGGTCTGCCGGGGCCTGCCGGCTGCGTCTCTGAGTGCTGGATGATGATGTCACTGTCTCATCGGTTTCGGGAGAGCAACACGACTGTCGTTGCCTGCGGGGGCCTCGATGCTCCTCCTTTATCTTTTCCCAAACTATCATCGACCTTTTTCACAGCAGACATCTCGACTCGTTCCAGGAAGTGCTGCTGATTACACCAGTGATGGCTCTGCTCTGATTCTGTGAGCCCAATGCACAATGCCGGGACCCTGAAGCTGAAGCAGCTATATGGAATTCAGCCGTGATTATGTTTATTAAGTCCTGTGCTTTTCTGTCTGTGACATGACAAAATGTCTGCCACGAAAAAGTTTCTGATGTTCTGATCTGTTCTGCTGCAGAAGAGAAGGACTTCTGTGTTTGTCAGTGCTTATTGAAGTACATCTCTTTCACTTTAATACCATTTTTATGATTAAATTTTAATTGATTAATTAAATTAATTTAAGAAGAAGGGTTTATAAATTTGCTCACAGACACAATGGAAACAACGTATTGATCACTTATTGGATTAGGAATATTTGTGGGAAGTACAATGTGCTGTTCTGAACAAAGAGGGACTACTTTTGAGAGTTAGTCAGAAGTTAGTTTATAGCTGTCACAGATTTGGTAAATTACTGTAAAATATCTACTAAAATATATACATTTTTACTGATTTTTGCAGTTATAAATAAGTAGATTTTAAAATGTTTATTAACTTGAAAGATGTACAGTAAATTAAAAACCAATGATTACAATGAGAGGTTGAGGTTGAGCAGAATCTGTATAAATATACTGTCTGCAAGCTTCTCTGTAAGAACACATCATTATTGTTACTATATTTCTGTATGATGTTGTTATTCAGTCTCATGGTGCATCTGATGGCTAATAGCTTATATGTCTGAGTGCAATTAGAAGCAGCTGACCACTAGGTGGAGCTGTAGGATGTGTTTGTGACACAAAGACAGTTAAACTCATGATGAAGCTTTATACAAAGGGGAGAATACAGTTTGTGTTTTTTCTGTGTGACATTGAACTTCTTGGATTTCTGTTTTGGCCTTTTGACATTTAATATTTTATCCCATAAACTTTAATACACACAATTATTGAAATAGCCTCATAAATTATTACATGTGAAAAAGAGATAGATGGATTACTCAGATGGAGGTAGAAAATGTCGCAGAATCAGTTTTACCTTTTAAACAGAATCATAAAACAGGCTCACTGAATCTACACCAACCTTAATAAATATGTTTCAGTTGTGGTTTTTTAAATTATTTCATGATTTCATTTATTTTTGACAATCTGTGATTCATTGAGAGAGAAGCGTGTACATGATGTCAGTCAGTGAACAAAAGAGAGTTTGGGTGGTGATATATATTTTTTCAAGGTTTACAAATAACTATTTTTAAATGCGGCATAGTACATTACACATTATTTCCAGAGAGCAAAATAAATATATTGCACTTAAAAATCATCAAAACACAATCTCGTCCGGTGTCATAGTCATATGATGGCATACAAAAGAAAACTTTTTTTTTAGAAAGGTTATTTTCAGTGGTAAGTCGGGACTGTGCGTATGGTTCAGAAGAAGAAAAAAAGTGTTTTACATTTAAGCTGAAATCAACATTCAGTTCATTTGTGCACACTTTTCAAACAAACAGGTTGCACATCAGTAAAAGGACAAAAACTGATTTCCAAAGCAAAGAAAAAAAGGTCAGAGTACAAGATTCCTTGACTTTCCTCAATGAACAGCTGATGAAATGAACTGCTTGCACATGAATAATGTAAAAGGGGTCAGAACAGAACATTAATGTCCACATTTCACTGCAACAGGCTTCACGTGCTGTAAAGTCAAACTGGGACATTTACAGTGTTTTTTGTTACCAGCTCCTGTTTCACCTTTATTTGATATTCTGCCTCCACAGAGCCGCATTAGAAAAAAAAAAAAAGGTGTCTTCATCATCTGTCACAAACACCTACATCAACGTAACGTTCTACTTTTGATGCATCCAAACGCTGCTTTCATGATGCAAGAAGCTGGAATGTTTGTGCATAAAACGTGACGGCTTCACAGCAAAAACATCTCCATCACGACCATTGAGTCAATTACTGTGTCCTTAAAAGTCTGTGGGAAGATTATATGAAGCTGTTTCCAGTAATAATCCAACAAATCACTGTCTCTATCAGGAAAGACAGAACTGCAGAACAGAATCAATCAGCCAGTGAATCCACTGGTCAGTCAACAAAAACTAATCAGCAGGTATAATGATTCATTGTTTCAATCATTTGCTTTTCAAATGTAAAGATTTACTGTATTTCTTTGTGGTAATTGATAGTAAACTGAATATTCAGGGTTTTTGGACTAATGGTTGCAAGACACAAGCTATTTTAAATTTGTCATGTTCAGCTCCTAAATTAAATTATATTCAATTCTAATCAATATTTCTAAAAATGTTGTGTCATTTTAGGGACAAAACTATATATAGTATAGAGTTATCAATACGTTTGTTGCAACCCCACAGTAACTTTACAGATGAAAAACAAACTGCCTGGTAGACAATGAAGAGATGATCCTTATATATCTGCAATACGCTGATAAAGTCCGATAGATCAGTCCAGTGATTAACAACAGTTACTTGATAAGATGGAGAGTTTTTGCCGTGGAACTTATCTTCAAACGTATCCTAAAACCACAGCATTATTTGCCGCTCCAGGTAGGACCACCTGCTTACTTTGTATTTCTTCATCATTTTTCAAATAAATTACTGACCGCTCCACCAGTGAGCTGCCATCTTTATGCACCTGCAACGTTACCGAGTCGCCTCCAGCAGCTTCCAGCTTCTTCCTCCACGCGTGTTTTAAATGAGACGGCGCAGAGTCATTATTCCCAGGTGTGGATGCCCTGTCGACACGCACTGACGCAGCCATGAATCAGCTCGGTAACTCCTGCTAAAGAGCGACTCAACGAAAAGGCTGCAGTCAACAGCGTGGAGACCAACTTAGTGTTTCTACACAGTGAAATATGTTGAAGACCAGAGGGAACAGATGTATGAGGGCTACATTTACGGCCAGTTTCACACGGTCAATCAAAAATATGACTAAAACTGATGATTTGAACTCAACACATTTTGTGGTTGAATCCTTCTTAAGGCTCGGTCACACCAGAGAGTGACACAGCGAAATTTATCTGCACGACTTTGCAAAAATAGGTCAGTCGCAATAACCCTCAGAGTTTCTTTGTACTGAGGTAGGGCACCCCCTACTGGCAGGACAAAAAGCTCTCTGAGCTCGCTAGCATGCTAACTGTCGGTTAAATAGCTTGTTCGCTACGTTTATTTGTATTATCAGCTCCTGTTCTCGTTACTGTCTGCAATCCATTCCTCTTCTGTGGAGCGGTTTACACTCCAGTGGACAACGTTAAATAAAAGTCAGGTGGTTTGCTATTGGTCAGTGGAGGGAAACTGCATGTCAAAGTTCACCAGTGTAACCCTACATTAAGCAGATTTCCTTCACGCCTGCAAGCAAAGCCACAGATTTCATATAAATGAACTGACTTCGCTGCAAAAACAGTTGCTGTTTTAAAAAGGACCAGTGTGCAGGATTTAGTGGCATCCAGTGGAGTGATTGCAGATTGCAATCAGAAGGGTTTGTCCCTTCTGGGCTACTTTAACAATAGGGGCGGTTCAACGTAGAAAGTGACTGATAGAAACGGCTCATTCTAAGGTAACATAAACAGAATGATTCCTACATTCAGGTGATTATACACTATTGAAAACATACATGTGGATATTATATTCAGTTTCTGCCACCAGAGTCTCTGAAATGTTACACACTGGACCTTTAAATGCTGGTGTGACCGGGCCTTTACAGTATGCATAAAGCCTTCACCTGTGCTGCAGGTCAGCTTATTCGTCCCATAGTATTCCATATAAAGTTTACCCAGCGTGTCTGTCTACTGCGGTCAGCATGCGTCTTATGATTTTTTTTTTTTTTTTGCACTCTACAGTGAGAATTTTCCTTTTGAGTAAATGTTGCTTTTTCATCTTTGTACAATGCATTTTAACATGTTTTTGACATTATTTTCAACAGAGCGTGAAGTTTGAACTGTACATATGGCTGGCTGTCTAGAAAACAGAGGAAAGCTGAGACGGCCGCTCCACCATCCTGATGTGTCCAACCTACTGTAGCATCAGACGAGTCATCGTTTTAAGGTTGCACTGATGAAGGATCACACGGCAACCGGCCATCTTTAAAGCCTCGGTGGAGACCCTGTAGCCAGTACGGACTGTTAAGCCTTTAGAGGGAGACAGGGTCTTCTACATACTGTTAAAATGAGTTTACGTTGAGGATTTGAGGATCCACTTTCTGTTCTTCAAGGGCCAAGACCAAACATGCTCCTTTTATCGTCTTGCATTAGGTTTTATAGTTTGTTTTGAGGTTGTAAGTGTTTGTACAATGTCACTAAAGTGTTCATAGAGACCACAGGACCTGCTGATTTGTCCTCAGGTCCAATAGAGGTGCCACAGTCCTTCTTTTCTGGAATTTCTGGATCAGTATGCCACATCCTCTTCACCTCACTCACTGCAGGTGAACTATTTACAAAGACCAGGGGGACAGATACCAACAGGATGAGGAGTGATGAGCCGGAGCGGAGGAATAACTGGTTGCACTGGATTGGGGATGAGCATCAGAGTGAGGATCGGCCGTCTCCTCCCCAGGACAGAGTCATACAAAGGGCGTCATGACCGTGGAGGAGTGGCGGAGTCCCTGGATGGCGGCATAGGGCCCCTGCTGGAAGTAGTGGTGGTAGCGGGGCATATGGAAGGAAGGGAAGGACGGCCCGCTGCCCTGCATGGTTCCAGCCAGAGCGGTGGGCGTCAGCGGCATGCCCAGCCGGCTGTAGGGGGGCAGGGAGCCCTGGATGGGGTGGGGCAGGGAGGCGGTGCCGGTGCCCATGGCCGACAGGGACTGTGGGTGCTGGAAGCCCGAGAAACCCGAAGTGGTAGTCACCCAGGAGCTCAGGGACAGGTTGTCTGAGGCGGTGAACGCTGAGCCTGCAGGAGAAACGGGGTAGGCGTGAACATTAGGATGATGCAAAGCGGTCAATATTCTTTATTTTTCTTGCTATCAACAAATCCAATGAGAAGACCAAAACAAACGTCCTCTTCCTCAGAGCTCCATTTTCATCCAAAAACACACACACACACAGACACACACACACACACACTGTAGTTTATTTAAAGTTCATCCCACACACACTGTCCCGTTGCCAGAAATACTCAACAAAGCAACAAATGTGTTGATCCACAGCTGAAATAGTTTCCAAAAAATGCACTATTTTCTTGGGTTTGAGAGCGGGGTGCTAGAAACTACACTGTCAGCAAGTCAGAAAGTATTGACTGATGGACAAACAGATTGTTGCTCTTGGTCATTTCGTGGGATTTGTTGACAGTAAGGAAAATACAGAATAAGACCAGTCTTATCTTTATTTTGTTCTTTTTCTAGGACCCCTCTCATCGCCTGTATCTGTGCTGGTGTGATGCATTGTGGGTGTGACAGCCGCTCACCTCTGTGGGCCGAGTGTCCGTCCTCGCTCAGGTTCTCCTCGTCGCCAGCGTAGGTTCGGATCGGCGACCGGGCGTATGAGTGCTTGTGGATCAGATTCTCAACACTTTCCCTGCAGCAAAAGCCGAAGAGAGAGCCCCAAAATAAATCTCTTTGTTTCCACTTTAGAGATTTATGACACTGAACACACTGGTAATGGCTAAATAAATCTTGGAATATGAAAAAAACATTTATCAAGAATTAATATAATTCTCATCATCTGATGTAACTTTACGCACATTTAACTTTTCTTAATCTTGTATATCAGAATATTTCAACCAAAACTAACTAAAATTTAGCATTTTCTTGTAGTGTTGAGATCTAATTCAAATTCTGTGACTTTTATTTACTTTTACATTAAAAGCCTCCTTTATGATTAAGAATGTATTTTTCCACAGTGTCCTGGTAAAGATAGGCAGCAACAATGTAACAACGTAACACAGATAAAACAAAATATCTCTATGTCCCAGATCAGATTTAAACAAATAAAAACACTTCTTTCCATCTTTAAAAACATTTTCTACACACACATTACAGCGGCTTGAGGTCCCATAATTCCACACCTCTAATAAGTCGACACTTCAATCCTTTTTGATGGATTACAGAACTGAGAATAACACCTGTATTTCATTCTGTTGTTTGCATATTTCCTTGTATTCATTTAGTATTTTTATTTACATTTCTCAAAATGTGTGTGTCCACTCTGTGTGTAGTTTCCTTCATGTTTGTGTAGACTGTGCATGTAGGTTTTGGCGTGTGTGTGTGTGTGTGTGTGTGTGTGTGTGTTTTCTATCCCACACAGTGCATTAGCTCATTTGAGTCTTGTCAGATAGCACTTCTCAAACACAGTGACACAAATTGTTGGGGGAGGTAGTGAGTGTGTGTGTGTGTCTGTGTGTGTGTGTGTGTGGGTGGACAGGCGGACAAGCAAGTGGTCTGTATCATGAGAGCCATGCGTCCACATTAGCAGCCCCCCCTCTGCAGCCTTCGCCCCCCCAATTAGGTTAGGAAAGTGCAATATCTGTCAGCAGAGGAGTACAAATGTGTGTGTTTTTATCAGCGTCGAGCCCCTCCGGCACAGAGGCCACAGCAAACTCCCACAATGCACGGCAGGGCAGGAGGAAGGCGAGGGGGAGGGCGGGGCATGCTGGTTTCAATCAGTCACTGCAGCCAATTGAATTACAGTGTGTTTTAGTGCAGTGGCCGACTCCAGACTAATGTGATTTCTGCAGCTCCCCGAAGATCAATTGATCAGGTCTAATTCACAGCCCTCAAAAAGAGAGAGACAGAGAAGAAGAGGAGGAGGAGGGTGGACGTGGGGGGGAGTCTGGCTGTGTTTCGGCCGTCTCTGGTTTGGGATGTTTGATTGAGGGAAATGGGCAGATGGTTTGATTTTGTCAGCTGATTTTGGCCGTAGTGCCGGAATCAGGAATTACGAGAAGTGTGTGTTTTGGCAGCGTCCGTTAAAATCCTTTGGATGTGGATTTGTAACTGTAAGTGTGTGTGTGTGTGTGTGTGTGTGTGTGTGTGTGTAAGAAAGACTAGAAAGGAAAAAACAAATGGAAGGAAAAAAGAGAAGATGAGAAAAATAAGAGGGTAAAGGGCGAGAGAAATAAAAATGATGATGATGACCGACTGAAAGATAAAAACAAGGAAGGGAACAGAGGGGAGGAGAAGGAGGAAAGGTTAAGGAAAAACAGAAGGACAAGTGAAAATACAAGGAAAGACTAAATAGACAAGAAAGATAAGAGGGAAAGGATGAAAAAGTAACTGAATACAGAAGAAAAGACAAGAAGAAAACAAAATGAGACAAGGTACAAAATAAAGAAAAAAGAAAAGACAAGACAAGACAGGAGATAGTCACACTGTAAAGGAAAGACAGAAAGAACAACCAAGACATAAACAGAAAAGGATGAATAAAACTATAGAAAGAAGACAAAAAAATAAGAATGAAAGTACAAGGTAAAAAAAAAAAAAAGGAAAGTGAAGGAACAGGGTAAAAGAGAAAGAGAGAGACAGAGAGAGAGCAAGACAAGAAAGACAAGAAAGCAAATGAAGTACGAAGAGTAAACAGCTAAAATGAAAGAAAGAAGAAAAGGCAAATTGGAAAAGATGTAAATAAGCAGAGAAAGAAACAACATGAAAAAGGGAGTCACAAGGAAGGAAGGACTGAACGATAGAAAAAGAACAAGGTTAGAAGAGAAGATGGAAAGATGAAGAAATAAAATGAAGGAAGGAAGCAAATAATAAGGAGAACATGGTGAAAAATATAAAGATATATAACGATTGAAACACAACAAAAGGAAATAAAAAGAAGACAGACGATAACACACGATAAATAAACACTGTATAGTAGGATATCTAACACACACACACACACACACACACACACACACACACACTCCCTCGCTGTGTATCTTATCACCGATAAACAAACAGTGCAGAACCCAGAATCCCCTGTACCTCTCCATATCTGTCAGCCGCGACGAGTCCCGGAAACCTTTGGCGAACGGGTTGCTGTCAATCTTCAGTTTGGTGATCTGGGAGACGCAGCAGGAGAGAGAACAGGGTCAATGTTTCTCCTTTTCATGTACAACCATTACTCCATCGGTCCATTTGTTAGCAACTGCAACAGGAAGCATGCACGGCCGGCAGATGTGCACTGAGTGAAGCTCTGAGTGACCAAAATATTACATTTATGGGCTTAAATTACTCATAAGAATGAAAGTTTAACTGGGACAATAACTTCCAAATGGTGTTGAAGAGAAGACGTCTCTTCTGTACAGGACTTTTTTTTAAACCAACAACCTGAACACATTATGAGGACCAGTTCATTTTGTTCCCTGTTGTGTCCTCTTTGGTTTAATCTGTTTTTATAGCTTTGGTACATTTAATACCATCAAATGAGTATTTTCACTTTCACTTCTAACAACCGTTATTACAGAGTGGAGCTTCTTCCTCCACATATGATCTTTAGCTGAATGCTCTTTTTATTAACTTATTGCTCTATTTATTGACACTGTTAATTGCTGTTGTTGGTTATTACGCCTTTAACTTTAGTCAGTCATGAATATTTGATGTTAGTTTGCAGGGGCTGTAAAATTGTGAGCACAGTTGGTGAAGTAAGATTTAGACTCACCATTTCTTTCTTAAATGTATTCCATGATCTTTGCAAATTTAAGTTATTGTGTAATCACAAGCTGCTTCTGCAACAACCAAAGACTCCCACCAATGCAACAAGAAAATTAAATGTTACATTTTGATCGTTTTTACTAAATCTGGGTTAATAACCTCATCCGTAAATCCTAAGGAATCTCTCAGGGTTTCTAGCTTGGCAACAGGTCCACGAGGAACTGTAAAGGGCCTCATGTGGAGAGCTGTCTTTCTCTGTTCAGGTGATCAATATGTGGAACTCCATCATTGTAAAGTTGAACCAGTTTTAGAGTGGAATATGAATGATCTGGTGCTTGTCATTGAGTTTTATGGTGATTTGATTGTGTCATTGTTTGTGTTTTGTGCTGTTCAGTATCAAATGGAATTTCATGTAGCTGCTCTGGAGCTTTCCCATCGTACCACATGATCAACTTTTAAGCCGACATGGACGAGGAGTAAAGGAAAGAAAAATAGAAGTCTACTAAATGGAGCTTGTAGCCAGTTTATAGAATTAAAACTTCAGCACAGTTTGGCAGTTAATCCAAAGAAGAAGAAGAGACAAGAGGCCTATAATATGGCCCACGTCAGCCGTCAATCACTCACCAGCTGGTTCTGATAGGCCGTGACGGCCGTGAAGACGGTCTCGACGAAGACGAAGGTGCGGAACTCTTCAGACTTGAGGTTGAGCAGCGAGGCGGTGTGGTCCTTCTTCTTGATGATGTGGACCCGCGGCTGGTACTTGTGCATGGAGTTGAGGATGATCTGCAGAGGACAAGCAGAGCCACAATCACTGACACTGATGACGCAGTCTAACCGGCGGGAATACATCAGGGTCCGGTCTGGGCTGGAATCATTTTCACACCTGCAAACTCTAGTGGGTAGGAAAGGTGACGAACCTTTTAATCCACGGCTGAAAATGAGTCCCCAACAAAAGCACTATTTTCATCAAAGTTTTACTTTACTAAAAAAAACAACCAGAGTAAAATCCATATCCTAATTTATTACATACAATTCAAACTTCAGCTCTAGTTTTTAAGCCAAAATGGACACCAAATCCTTAAAGTGACCCAAAATAATGCTAATTTGAACATCTATAATTCCATAACAAGTGGACAAGCTCTATCTCCTGAAGAAGATCGTGTCATAAGATCGAAAGCTCCATAATAGTTACTAAATGGACCTTCTGTTGAGGTTGTTTTCAGGCCTTCATCATCATTCTATTCCTTGTATTTAACTAATATATTAAAATGTTGTCAATAAACAAGCAAATAAACAAAGTATAATAATAAAATAAATAAGAATAAATATTGAAATAAACAGCAGAGACTTTTGTGGAATGGTAAATTAAAGACCCTTTACACTGGGCACTTGTTGCATTGTTTCTTCATCGCCACTGTCTTCGTGCAGCTTTGCATATATTTTGAAATTAAAATATCCAAACAAATATCCGACACAACTGACGTACTGGTCCGGGCGAAAAGGGAGGGTAAGAACAACAAAGACAGGGAAAGCAAAAAGGATGGGGGGGGGGAATTAGCTAGTAAAATGAAAGGGAGACCAATAACAAAGCAACAGAAGAATAGAAAGACAGAGGGAGGAATGGGGTGAATAGAGAGAGAGAGAGAGACAAGTGTGAACAGATAAAGTTGTTAACACTGCAGCAGCTCCAGGTGAGAGTTTTCCCCCACAAGCGTTCCTGTCTGGCTGCAGCCCAGGAAACACTTTATATTCATCTTTCTCGACCCACGGACTCGGCTGCAGAGTGTTTTAACCTGATAGGACAGGTGCAAAGGATACCAGGCTTTCTAGGTCAATGAGCTAAATTACATTCAGCTGCAAGGATGCACCATGCATATTACTTTCACTTGTGCTGGTGGGACAGATTATTTAATTTGTAGTAAAATACTGTTAAAAAAAAAGAGTAATACAGATTTTATTATTATGTTACTTTATTGTTATCAACTAATTTATCCACACATATGCTTGTTTTTCTGAATGGTACATATGGTTACATTTTAAAGATATTTTTGGGTGTTTATTTTCATTTTGTTTATTTTTGATGCTGTCTGATCATAAAATAATCGGGAATATTATTTCTGCATTTTGATTAAAAAAATAATTATTAAGGAGTTTTATTTTCCAACATTCATTTAGTGAGGAAAAAGCTATCTTGCTTTTTAAAATCTTGAACCTCAATCATCTCTTTTTGGGTACATTCTTTCTTCTTAAAGCAGCATTTTTAAAACCATATATAAAACCAGCTGCATTACTGTATATTCACTGTAGGAATCAATACAAATAAATGTACGTAATAAAAGTGAAATAGCCTAAATAAAAGAGATCTATGTCACTTTGGTTCTATGTGCTCTTATTGTATTATTTGTTGTGGTTACTTGCATGTAAACAGTGACAAGAAGCTATTTAAGTAAAATAGGTGTGACACACACACACACACAGATAATAATTACCTTGTTTCCCAGGCTGTGTCTTACTGTTGGCTTTTTTTTGGATGAAGGTTAAATGTTTTTGTCGGTTGTGAAATGTTTTTCTCTTCCTGTGGTGCTTGCCTGAAGCCTTCAGTGAAAGGAGGATTAAAGGAGCAATTTGCTCTTGTCAGGCCAGTAATTTTAATGTCACACTGGCCTTCAAAGTTCGTTTTTTTTTTTTTTTTATAACGTTTTAACTTGTAGAATCATCTTTTTTAATGTTTTTACATGCAATTAGGTCGATATGCAGACTTAGCCTTAAAAACTTTGACCAGAAGACACACATTTAAAACTGGCTAGTCGTTTTAGATTCAGTTTTATAGCTTAGGCAATTTAAAAATGTTAGCAGGCCAAAGCTAACTGCCTTTCTAATATACCGGAAGATTTTTTTACCCTTTTTTAAAGCCTAAACATTTTAAATAAACATTACCGATAACGTGGGTTAATACGAGACGTGTATACAAAAAAAATAAAAAGAGTAATAAAGTAACAAGTTCTCACATGTCCGTGTTGGTCCAGTTCGTTGTTCGTCAGTTTGACTTTCTCGAAGGAAACCATCTGCTTCATGAGCTGCTCTCCGGTGAACGGTGAGTCCGGGTGGACGTACAACCTGCAGTAGGAAGAAGAAGAAGAAGAGCGGCGGATCACATCCTCGGCTCTGATTGGCTGGGAGGCGTTCGAAACGGAACGTTCGATGCCCAATCGGCGCACAGCTGTGAACTGGAAAGTTCCAGGTCGCTTAGCAACCGCGTTCTATCTCCCCGTGAAAGAACGGTGAGTAATACGGGTTTGTTAGACGGTTTTAAGGTTGTTGTTTTTTTTTTTTATAAAGCGTGTTTTCGATATTGCGACAAGAAACAAAAAAAAGAATAAGAAAATAATAAAATACATTTATTTGAAAGGAAACAATTTTCTGACCAACAAATTACATGAATTGCCTAAATTAATTCAAATCTTTGTCAGTCCGTGTATTGAACATTTTACCAAACAAGATTTCATCTACATATTTACCCTTCGATCATTCCTCCATTTTTTTATTTTAATTTATTTAAGCATATTTAAAGCTTATGTTGTTGATGCAAGAAGACTTAACCAGGATTTTCTAAATAGGCTACTGGGGTGATGAGCCCCTAATATAGCCTATAGCCTATAACCCAGCATGAAGCCAGGTTTCCTTTATTTATTTCCATATTTTATTAGACTAAAAGTGATTCAGATTTGAGTGTATTACGTCTAAAAGTACAGGAATCAGCACATAAAGGCCTGACCTTTTAATTGTAGAATGTAAACTTCCCATAAATAGTTCTTTAAAAAAAAAAGTCCAGGCCTGGATGGGTGGCATATGGGGACTGACGCTGGTCTACTGCTCGCACTGACATCTCCATAACATTAATCAGCATCAGTATGAATGTTCCCAGATGCTTCCTGCTAAAGATTGAATTATTTCATCCGTCTCAGTCACACGGCGGGGGCCTCGCGCAGCTCTTTGGGCTCCAGTTTTTCTCCACGAGTTGCTGATAACGTTTTATTTCTTTTTTTTTTATAGGCTAAGGGAGAAAAATCCTAAATATCGCACATTTCCTATCCTACAGTAATGCAGCCGATGAATGGTCAGGTAACGTAAATAAACATCTTCGATCCTTCCAGTGAAATAAGACGAACCTCACTGGAAACACAGAGGAACTTTAAACTTAAAGCTTCATGGTTAAATAAATAAATATATAATGTTTGCTTTAATGAATTTTAAGGTTTTGGAAATATTTCTTATTTTTTCTGCATGTTCTTTGCTTCCTATTACAGTGAATATGTCTTTATGGTGGTCTCTCATTGAGGACTCAGTTCAGGTGGACTCTGAGAGCTGTGCAGGGTGGGTCTCTGTACCTGGCGGGCAGAGGAGGGTCGGCCTTTCCGGCCACCAGCCAGGAGGAGCGGTGGTAGGCGTACCGGTACCGCTTATTATCCACCGGGACGATGTCCATCAACACGATGTACTTAGAGTCCTGGTCCACCCCGGAGAAAGAGACCCGGATGGTGGGGAACATCCTCCTGATGGAGAGGTGAGAGGTGATATTATTGTTAGTAATGTTGTATGAGACTGCACATCACAACAAATAATAAATCAAATCAAATAAAGACAGTCGACCGTTTACATTCCAGACTTTGTGAATATTTAATGGAAGAATCAGATCAAATCATTATTACTAAGGCTATATGCATACCCCATGTACACAAATATATTTGTGTATACCTGACAACACAATCTTAACTAGAAAAGGCCTATACAAATTTCAGTATTTAAAAATATAGTGATGCACTTTCATGCAGAGTTGGAGCCAGAATTTTTATAAATACTGAGGTCATGTCGGCTCCAGCTCACATCTCTCCTCTTCAATCATCACACCAACAGGAAAGACTTTCTCTCTCTCTTTTCTTTTAAAGCTCTCACTTTTTCAGTTATTAAATTATTTGTATTTTCATTTCCTAAATGTTATTTCAAAGCCTCGCAGGAAATACAATTCTGGCCGGAATAATTTAATTTTACTGTCTTTGAAATTATTATTATTATTATTATTATTATTATTATTATTATTATTCAATCTAAAAATATGCTGCTAAAATGAGCCAATTAAATGGGTATAAAGTGTATTTATTTTAGACCCTCCAGGCTGCTCAATCCTCGCTGTGCTCTGTGGTAAAGTCCAGCTTTAGAGGCCACATTGTGCAGAACTATATTTATTTAATTACACAGATTTAGTTACAAATACTACATGTTTATTTAGACTATTTATTTGGCTCAGTTGTTTTTCAGAATATAATTAAATATCCATTTCTTTAGATAACTGAACTAAATGCCGGTCTGTGTGGCCGTATATATGCTCTTTTATTAGGTCAGGTGAGTCTGCAGGTGAGTGTCTGGATCTCTGCTCAGTCTGAGGAAAACCCACCAAGAGCTGCAGATGAGCTTTATTCTTATTTTAGATATTTTAGACCCTGAACACCCCAACAGGACTATCCATGCTGTCCTTGTTTTGTGCTCTTATAGTAACAGTAAATGACCTTGTAGATCCTTGTTGTTATCTCCTTTATCTATGTACAGTTTAATGCTATGTTTATTAAGTGTGTTATTATTGTTGTTGTTGTTGTTAAGTCGCCTTTAATGGGACATTTGTCGGCCGTTTACCTTCCAGACTTGGTGATGATCATCTCGGTGCCGAGCTCGTGAAACTTGTCCCACAGCTCTTTGGTCTCCAGGCTGCACGAGATCTTCGCCATCTCCTCGCTAGGGATGCCGGGATTGGTGGGGATGAGCGGCTCCGTGCACACCGCGGGCGCGCTCCCGCTGAAGTCCCCGTGCCCGTCCAGGGAGGACAGGTCCGCGAGAGACTGCTGGTTGCACGAGGACTTTTCCACAAATTGTTCTTTATTTTTTATTTTTTATGGATATATGAGAGAAAGAGAGATAAAACAGAAATGTGAGGATGATTTCATTTTATTTTCTGTGACAGCAGCAACATCGAGGAATACAAGAAGATAAATACAGTTACAATCTGATAAAAACAAAAAATATTTGTCTTATTATTATTATTATTATTATTATTATTATTATAGATGATACTGTTCCATGTGAGTCTGCAGGACAATGGGAAATAACAAGGGGAATAACATTCAGCTCTTTATTAGACATTTTGGTATTTAAAGCTCTAAAACGTGTTTGTCGTTAAGGGGAAAGAAACTCAAAATATAAAAATAAGTTAAAAAAAAAAAACTGAGGCTCTGCAAGTGTTTTATTTTTATTATTATTTAAAAAAAGATCCCAGTTAAAGTTGGCGCAGGTTAACCCATGTTGGGAGGATTTCTTTTTGCAAAATAAAAGCTTCAAATGCCCCAAAATAAATTCCTTGTAGAGAAAATGAAATTTAATAACATTCATATTGATATTGTCTGTTTGTAGAGCTCTGCTCCAAAACCCAGTGAGGTCAAGTATTTATTTTATTAGATGATGGATATTTATTGAGATGACCTACTTTGTAAAACTAACATCCCTTCAGAAAAAAAAAAACTAATATAACAATAGTAATAGTTAAATTTTTATGACTCAATTTTAAACTACCATACTCTGGTACCTGTCGCATAAATAAAAGGGGCTATTTTTAAATATATTTGTGAACTTATAGGGATGTTACCGGCTTTTCCAATCACCTTTTTTTACTTATTTATTTATTTGAAAATAGTCTAAAGCCCAGACTGTTATCAGACACTTCATTTATTTGCCTTTTGCTGTTTTCTCAAGTGGTATCTGTTTTCCTCTCTGCTGCAGCCTCCTCACATTGCATGCTGCACCTCCCTGAAACCTTTCTTTAACTCTCAGGATTTATGCGTAAAACAACTTTAACAGCTGCAATCTTACGCACCAGTTCCCCCCAGAATTAAACTCGAATTAAGTTTTTCTATTTAATGTCTCGACCCGAACCTCTTCCATCCTTACCGAGAGGCTTGATGGTGTTCTCCTCCGTCTCTTTGTCCTTATTGGGCTTTCCGCTGGACATCAGGGCGGCTATGGAGAAAGCGTTTGCCCGGGATGAGAGCTGCGGTTTCGGGGATGACGTGTACTCCATGTCGGTGAAAAAGACTTGGAACAAAATATTCCCCCTTTAAACGAATAAAGAAAAGAAAAAAATCCTCCAGAAAGGCTCAACTCCGCCTGTTTTTTTTTTTGTTGGCTCCCAGCGGAGGAAAGAAAAAAAGCGCAGGAAAAATACGCACAGCTTTGCTCCTCGATTTCACTCTTTTTCTTTTGCGCACAATCTGCTCGCTCACACGGATAAACACTCGCCACTTTTGGAAAACACTTGTCACTGCCGAGTTGTGAGTCTTGTTGGATGCATGTTGAAGGAAGCAGGAGGGGACTGACTCCACTGACTTGTGCGCGTCCTGCGGTGCCAGATCTGAGGCCGGCTGCTCTTTGGGAAGCTTCAGTCCGATTCACCCTCCCCTTATAATTCCAGTCTGCCCTCCAATCACTGCCTCTGCTTCCACGTCACACTCCCACTGTCCCAGCAGCTCTGATACCGAGCAGCCAATTAAAAAACCTGGAGCTGTCAGAGGGTTTCTTTTTTTTTTTTTTTCATGTCAAAGACCCCGAAGAGAGTGTGTGGTTAAAGAGGAATAATATGGGAGATTTTTATGACTTCATACTGTCTGTACTGGGGTGATGACAGTGGGAAATTACAAGGAAATTGTAATTATTTGCTCTTATTGCTGAAGTATTACGAAGGGAAATAACAAGTGAAATTTACTTTACTAGTAGCCCTCTCGTGGACTCCTGCAGGGCCCCCAGACCACATGTTGGGAATCACAAACCCAGAATGTCAACAGTGGAGACGTTTGCCCAAGATGGTGCTATTTGATAATTAATGGCAGTAGTGAGGTGATGATTACAGCTTTGATACACACATATTTTGATTTTGTAAAGTCCCACAAAGATTCAGTGTCACAAACCTCACAAATCCACTCCTTTAGTATCATCGCACAATGTGGAAGAAATTCAGAGTTGCTTAAAATTTTGTTTAGAAATTGTCAAATGATTTTAAATGGAACACATTCTGAGTTAGTTAGATTTTAATATGTTCCAACATATAAAATATAAACAGCATGTAGCATGTTGTTTACTAAAGCAGGGCTCTTTGTGTATATATATTATATTTAAATTAATATTTTCTGTATTATTTTTTAACATTCTGTAAAAATATGCAACTTGGTTATTTCTGATGCTGTACCGCTGCTTTATATTGTAAAGGCATTACATGTAGAGCTGCAATGATTAGTCAATTCATTAATTAAATTAAAATAAACTTTTAAATTATTATTTTTTTAAAGAAAAATGTCAAAATTCTCTGATTTCAACTTCTCAAATCTGAATTTTTTTGGTTTCTTTGTCCTCTATGACAGTAAACTGAATATTTTTGGGTTGAGGACGTCACTTTGGGAAATTGATCAACATTTTTCTGACATTTTATTGACTAAACAACTAATCGATTACTCGAGAAAATGATTGACAGCTTAATTGATAATGAAAATAATCAGTAGTTGCAGCCTTAATTACTTACAACCTGTTGTATCACCTGAGCTATAGCAACACTTTCATTACATGTTTGTAATAATAACAATGTGTCCACAATCAGAGGATGCCAGCAACACTTCCTGTAAGGTCAATGAGCTCATAAGAAACATTATACGGAGCTCTTCCATTTGTAAACATATATCATACATTTACCAGTATTATTTAAAATGGGTTCACATCACAAACTCTGTCCAACTGTTCAATCTGAGCTTGGGTTCTCCGTCGGGCCCCAGTGTTCCTGTGTGTTGCACCGCAGCAAGTTATTCATAATGTCTGATGTAATATATGTTTGTACTGTTTGTGTTGTTGTTTGGTTAAAAGGTTTTGTTATGAATGTCAAACACTTTGGGACGCAAGACAAACACTCTGATAATAAAGTCAATATATCAATAAGGTCTCTCTAGGGCACCTCTCATTGGTCGTTCTCCCCAGGTCAGAGCCTGCAGCCTACATGTGTATATACACGGAGCTGTCTGACTATATTAACTTTGCCTGATGAACGAAACGTCGTTAGTATCCCTCTTGTGTGTTTGTGTAGTCTCACCTCTTCCCAGGTCTCCATGGTGACTCAGGTCTGTTTGGTGACACCTTAGGTTGATCGACATCCATATTCTTCATAAATGTTTACAGTCTGAATATAATTAGATGATTTGTTCTATTTTTTCCCCCATTAAAGGAGTTTTTCCTGATTTGAACTGAAGGTATTTGAAAAGTGTCCTGAGAGAAACGTCTGTTATGATTTGCTGTGATACAAATAAAATTGAATTGAACTGAATTAAATTTACTTTAACAAAGTGAGAATACAGTGTGCAGGATTCTTGTTTCTGTTTCCCATAACCTAAAATGTGCTACAATACAATACAGCTTCAAAACATACAGTAGAATTGTATCAACACACTAATTAACTCATTATCTAAATAAAAAAATGATGTCTCTGGGCTTATTTTGAGACTGAACACACTTTTTGTCCTCATTATGTGATGTGAGGTGTTTGTGAGACCCTCAGCAAGTGTGAGAAATGCCTTTACACACACACACACCCACACACCTACACACACACAGGAACCTTATTGAGTGCAGGAGCAGCAGTCTTGGGTTAATCCGTTCTGTGACACACACCAGTGAGCGCCTAATCTTTCACACACACACACACACACACACACACACACACACACACACACACACACACAGCTCTCATGTGACAACAGGAAATGCAGGTTATTTTTTATGAGGCCTTCTAGTAACAGTAATCATTTCTCTTAACAGTAGCAGCCAGTTGGTTTTAATGGCGACAACAGCCCGGCCTGCAGTCTATACTGTATGTTCTCCAGACTCCTACTGTTATCGTCTTATTACTGTCTTTAGTCACTCATTCAATTTTATATCAAAGGAGAAAGCTTTCAGGACTGATTAAAGAAATCTTTTTTTTTTCTGTATTTCCCTTGCTTTTAACTTGATAGGGACTGAATCCGGTCTAGACGTCACCTAAGGCAGAGTCTTTATCAAGACTTATTGTTTTTTCTTCCTCAACACGACTGATAATACACAGCCAGTCAGAGAAACCACTTCCACTACAGTCCCCATTTTAGATTTTAAATCAACACGTTTGATGCTGAAGCTTCCGAGCAGCACCTGAAGGCATCGTGTTCCCAAATGCTGACTTCAGATTTTTTCCAAAGGTGTCTGTCTTTTTTTGTGTGTGTGTGTGTGTGTGTGTGTGTGTGTGTGTGTGTGTGTGGAGGATCACCTCTCATCCTCAATGTCACTCTCTCTCTCCTCCCTCTGAGATGGAGGCTCACATAAACACCGAGCCAGAGACCGGCGGAGCAGCTAAACCCATTAGGAGACTCCTCAATGCAAATCCGCTGCTGCAGATATTTAATAAGAGACCTGTGCTGGCAAATCAGATTACCTTGCAATTGGCAGTGGATAATGTGCTAAAAGCTTTCCCACTTAAGCGTTACTCCTTACTGAATATTATTCACACTTTGAGGGGCCGGTGCAGCCTTAAAGAAACAGCCGGCCTGAGAGTGAACAGGGGGAAGAAACAGATGGCGATTAATGTTGGTGCCTTTTACAGCTGAATACAGGATGAGTCACAGATAAAACCGGGAAACTGAGGAGTAAAAGTTGGCTATCATTGATAGTTCAAAGCCAACTGACTGAAAAACATTGGTGAGATTTGAAAAAAGCTTTTAGAATAACCACTGTATGTTAAAACATGTTCACCTTGTCTTTATGCCTTTATAATATGAGTGTCCAAACTTATGATGTGATTGTTTCAGATTCCCAGAACTAATCAACCTCAGTTTTGACAACATTTAACCCTCTGGAGTTCATTTGTTTTGGCATCTTTCATTCATTTTTGTTTTTGGTGAGCACCTTTTAAACTCCACATGAATAACGTCCTTTTTGTCTGACTTATCATTTTGTCAATTTGTCAACAAAGTATAAAGCTACCAGGAACACAAAATACTAGTCAAATTACAAATATTCAATCTTCAGTGATAATCTTTTAAAACACTTAAAGGTTGGGGGAAAAAAATTCACTATTTATACACACAAATACCACAGAACATATTAGAAAGACAACTATAATAGAGTCTACATGTTAAGTCAAATATCCCAAATTATAATTGAGTCTTTTTCCTTCAGTTTGCCTGTAAATCACTGAAAATAATTAAAAATGTCAAAAAAAATAAAAAAGAACAATTGAACATCACCACTTTCAACTGGTTTTCTCTACATCAGTGACGCTCAACTTAAGGCCCAAGAGCCAAATCTGGCCATTGACAGGGTGCTAGGTGTCCCTCTGACCATTTTCTAATTCAGAATGAAAATAAATTGATTCACTTGGATTTTTTTTATTTGCTATTTATTTGTTTATTCCAAATGTTCAACAATGTCCCTTGGCTGTTGGGAAGCTATCAGCGATCTATGCAGGGCACAGAGGAGGTGACACGAAACGTTCACGTACACCCGACCTGCGTGAGGCTGCTGTGACCGGATTTTACGATGAGTGAGGACAGCAAATGTAAAAAGGTAAATTAATTGATTAGTTATTTCTTAATAATGTGAATAATCACAGTGTGCTATGGTGGCAATTTGTTTAATAAAGCATACAAAGTATGATCTTGTCTTTCTGTAAGGTTTTATTCAAGTCATCCATGAATAGTCTCAACGCAACCGTCACACACTCTCGTATGTGAAAGTCCGAAAGAGCCCCGATTGGCAGAAGCAGTATGGTTTTATCCCTGTTGGAGCACACAGTTACACATTCCTAAGTTCTGGGACAGTAAACAGACAGATAGTGTGGTGAGATGATCATGTCCTTGGCTTCTTAGTGAAGTCTCAACATCCCGCTGTTTACTTGGACATAGAGTGTAGTTAGAAACAGGGTTAAAGGTTATATGCATATAATAGCCTCTTTAACAGTTGCGTATGGTTTTACAATGACCAGGTCAAAGGGTTGTATAGGTTCTTAAAAATTGCCATTACAGTGCATAATGAAATGATCCAAAATATATTTTGTTAGCAGGTTAGCATGCGATACCCGCATGTGCTGACTTTGCAAATACAACTCAGAGATGCCTGGGCTAAAACCACCTAGAAACACAACTACGTGCCTGTTTGATGGAATAAATAACACAACTGGAGAAACTAGAATGTGTCATTGGGATCCATTGTGTGGGAACCATTAAGTAGATTTTGAGATATTTCACAGGCTCGTAAAGCTCTGACCTGCTGGTGGCGCTAGATGAAAAGTCAGGGATCACCGACGTCTTTTAAATTCTTTCTCTTGGAACCGTGAAGTGTGTACACAATTTCA